AAACATTGAAGTAAACTTAAGGTGAATTAGGAGCACATTTCAGATCATCTGTAATAGTGGCCTACCTAGAAAAAAAAATGTGTGATATTTAAGGTCTGATGTAAGACAGTCCAGAAACCAAAATTGACGCCAGATCCACAAGACTTGAAAGCTATATGAATATACTGTAATACTATTGGCATACCAGCCCTTACTCAGGTTAATTCTAGAGAAAAGTTGATATACTATACTATAATAATTGTGGGTTTAAACATATGTTGTCTCAATTCAGGCAATGTATAATTTGGGAAATTCAGTGACCTTTCATAATAGTAATAAACAGGTATGTATTCTGGAAAATAAATAAAATGAAATATTAAATTTAAATTCTTACATAAAATATATACATATGAAAGTCACTTTATGATAGATACAATACACAGGTACAAATAGGCCTACCTGTTTGTCTACAACTTATAATTAGGCCGACCAGCCCTCCATAAACTAACGTTAGAATACCGCACTTTCGGCAGTAAAGAACAATTAAAACCTCATAAAAAAGGCAACTAATCCGTTTACCTATAATTGAATCCAAGGACACCAGTGTTAAACACTCAGTACTTATCCTTGATAATGTGTTAATCCAATTAATATAGTGAGATAACATAACGTTAGTTTATCAAGGGCGGGTTGAGCTAATGATTCTTAGTCGTGCCTATCACCAATTGTTGTCACACTCAAATTTTCAAGTTGGGCATCTGACAGCGTGGAGATTTCGTCACTGGTAATCTGAAAAGAATAACACAGAGAACAAGTCTCTGACACATACAATGCAGCACCCCTACACACAAACACAAGTTGGCTTTTACAAAGAGTTCATGAGAATAAAAAAAAAAGCAACTTCAATTTAAATTTTTAAGAAGTTACTTAAAAAATACATTTTTGGCCATTTATTAGCAGTCATTCGCGTTTGGTTGTAAAATAATTAATAACCTGTCAAATAACGTCCTGTCATAGGCCTATAGGCTACGCCTGCTAACCATCAATTAGTCCAGGCCGTGGCCCACGCCTGTGACCTAGGCCCTAGGCCTAGTTTATATTTATTAAGTAAACAAAAACGGGGAGTTGTGATGCTTAATTATAAAATCTAGGGCAATGTCAGAAACATAATTAAGGTCAGATGACAAGGCCTAGGCCCTGATGTTTCATTTCATTTCATTTATTTCGTCAAACAGAAAACAAAACATACAGAAATAACAGTACCATTACCAAAAATCAGAGACAGGATAAACAAAAAGCAAACTAAATTGCTACAGAATATTCTCGGCCCCACCCCTAAGGCCTAACCCCACCCCCTAAACCATATAGTAACATTAGGCCCCTATGGCCAAGAAGCCCTAGTACCCCACATGCATGCCTCGTCAGTTGTCATCTCAGTGAAAACCGGCCAGACAGGACCCTTATCATTTGATAAATCATTAGGCCTAGCCTCTAGGCCTATACTATTATTATTTCTGTATTATTGTTGCTATTATTAATATAAAAATAATAATACCTTCTCCCTTTCGAAATTCTCCAGAAGATGCATTAAATGAAGTTAATTAAGTACATTTTAATAGGCCTAGGCCTAGTAGGCCTAAGTACCATTAATCTTTTGCGCCATGGTGGATGGTACGGCGTTGCGACTATGCGACTAAACTTGTATAGGCTCATTCCCACAGCCGCCCAAATTTTTCATTTGACCCAATGTCAAAGGTTGTATTTTATTTATAATTGCGCCGAATGCCAATACTACGCCGAATGTAAATGCGCCGAATGGTAAAAGAGCCGAACGTAATGGTAAAAGGGCCGAATGAAAATGCGCCGAATGGTAAAAGAGCCGAACGTAATTTTAAAAGGGCCGAATGTAAATGCGCCGAATGGTAAACTGTTACCAAAGGCAGCGATGGCGTTCCATATGATTCTTCAATATCTTATTTAAAAATGTCTACTTACTACACGTTTCGTCGTAGACCGAGCATGAACCTGAAATTTATTTTAAAATAGTGCTTAAATATATTAATAATAATAATTATATTGTGATTGTAATTCAATACAATCTATAAAATAGTGATTCCTAATAATCACCAATGTTAACAATAAACATGTTTAATAATAATAATAATAATAATAATAATAATAATAATAATAATAATTTGTTTAATTTATTCACATGCTGATACAGACCAACTGTGCATAACGAATTGGTATGCCATGCAGCTTCATCACAATATTACAATTCTACAATTGTTTTATTTTAAAGAAATAAAATAAATAATTTAATGCTTAGAGAAAATATATTGCAAGCATTAGTATAATTATACCAAATAAGCACTCACAATAGATTCAAATGTTTAAGCTTCATTACTTACGACATTGGTTTTTGTAGCATTGCCTGGCGCCTGGAGGACATTCAGTACAACTCCGTCCAGTAGTATAAGGATGGTGACCAATATTACCACTGTCAAATATGATTAATGTTTCTCAAACACAAAACTACATACGATTATATGTAGGAATAATGAACAGTCTGAAGAAAAATTTAACCCACATGAACACGCACATCTATTATTATACACCATATGATATCACATCATGTAACACCACACCACACTATATTACATCACACACCACGTAACACAACATATATATTAATAATAATAATATATATATATATATATATATATATAAAATACTGAAAAATAATGCTGTGGAGAATGGCAAGTGAAACTAAAACAGATGTAAAACATTAAAGATTAAAATCAAATATTATCGTGGGACTGTCTCTTATACACATCTAGATGTGTATAAGAGACAGCAGTTGGCCGGACAGGATTGCCAAAACTATATCACTGTCTAGTGGCTCTCCGATGCCAATGAGAACAAGAATTATTAAAAAATTAAATTAGCATAAAATATTCAAGTGAAATAGGCTAATCAATAAAATTTACATTTAAAAATATATATGTACAAAATCCTCAGTAAAATCGGTCAAAATACAATAAAATTTTAAAAATTGCGGCAAAAAAAAAAAAAAATTATTGCTTAGCATAAAATATTCTGATATAAAATTACACATCACATATCATAATATCCTTTCATATATATTATATCGTATCATATCGTATTATATCATATCAATTAACATATTCAGTAATAGGTATTAATGGAATTTGGTTACACAACATGGCTAATTAACATGGATGAGGGATTTGAGTTTATACCAAACAAATGTTTGGATAAGAAAAAAAAAATTAACATAATATCCATATACCTAAGTTACATAAAAAGTGTACATACGCAGGTCCATAGTTACATGTTACAATCCAAACATTTAAGGCTCCATCAACTGTGCTGCTACAGTAAGATAGACCGCATCCAACAGCGTGTGAATGGGCCCATACAATCTATAAATAAAATAAGATAATCATTTGTTTACTTAATCTGTCATTTCTTTTACAATAATTTTAAGGTTATTAAAACGGTATTTAATCATCTTTCTCCGAGGTTGTGGGATGTCATTATTTAGCCTACTGTCATCGTTAGGCTATTGCCCAACTCACCTGCAGAGACTGCGCTTCACAGTGGTTTCTATGGTTAAGGCCCAAGCCCAATAATTGTTTCTTGCATCTAGGAAAGTAACTACCGAAATAATTATCTAGGCACTCATCTGGAAAAAAAAAAAAAAAAACAAAACAAACAAAACATAAAAAAACAAAAAACAAACAAACAAAAACAAAAACAAAAACAAAAACAAAAACAAAAACAAATGAATTACTGCAATTTAAATCAGAAGTTCTTACAAAAGTATTTACCTGTGTGTAATGTCCGCAGACCTTATTTTCTTGACATTCGTTCTTCTCGTATGTATAAAATCGGTACTCGTTGTACCAAGCCTGCGTAGCTGTTACTCCATTAGGGCGACTGTCGGGACCGCCTGACATTTCGTATAGATTTTGTCCAATAGAACTGTATGGCGAAATGTTAGTTGGTTGTCCGTGGTTGAAGTTACACGTGTCGGACCACTGTTGAGCCATTGTTGCAAGATTGTCATCCCATGTCTATAGATGTTTTGACAATTTATTATTAATTAAATTATTTTATCTATTTAAACCTTTTAATGTAATACAAAATCAGATATCAATGTATACTAGACCTACAAGGTTTGTATTTCAGTGCTTGCGATTATAAAAATGAGGCATATGAAGTACAATATATAATTTGCAATTATAAAAATATCCTTTTTAAAACATGTTTTGAAATCCTAATAATGTGTACCAAAGGATCCAATTAACTTTGAGTGCTCAATATTAAAACAATTAATTAGAAGGATTACTGTATACCTGCAACAAATGTGAAAAATGAATTAATTTTGTCAATGCCCTCCCGCAAATGGGGTAAAATTTGAATACGTTACTAAGTGGAGAAACTATAATAGGAAATGAACGAACCAGAGCGGCGCCTTTATTATTACTATATAGCGCCGCCGTGCGGACGGGATAAAATTGCTCTGCGTGTAACCACAATGCCTTTCGAAGGGATATTCCACTATATTGGGAAGCTGCTCTATCTTCTGCTATTTAATATCTTTGGGTGCCCTTATGACAACGTTTAGGCTACGTCAGAGATCTTATAATTACAAGATAGCGTTATACGCGTAACAAATAGAAGCGTTAATGTTCAGTAAAAAGAAGCATAAAAAGCAAAGATCCATAAACACAAGATAGCGTTTTTAGCGATATCTGCGTGCAAATTATGTAATAACCATAGAGCTATTAAACAACTAGAGTGCTGACAAGATGGCGAAGCAATGCAGAGTTATGTATATGTACCATTCAAGATGGCCGTCGTAGTAAAGCGCCACTTTTAGGTTTAGTAATACATATTATTACCATAATGCGCTTAAGCGAAATTTTATTGGCTAAATGTATGGCAGCCATATTGGATGGTACACACACACAGCTCTGCGTATTTCGAACATCGAATACATTGCAGTTAACGCTCTAGTATTCTTATTAATCAATCAATCAATTTATTCCTCAACTTTAGGCCATTGGCCCTTTGTATACATAAAGAATCATAAAATAATAGCGAACAATGTGGAAAATCAAATAGTTAGTTATAAAAGGTATCTATCTTCGTTCTCCTCTTAAATGCATGGTGTAAATAAATGAATATTTTTTGTATTATTAGTGGACTGTGCGAGAAATAAAGTTATATTGTATAGGGAAACGAACATATTATCGTGGGATGTATTTTTATCTTAAATCACTCTATAATTTACATTTGAAAAGAAAATGTAATTCCTCTTCAATATCCACTTAAAGAAGCAAATTCTATCCTCGAGGTTAATATTTAATTTTCTACCATCCTCAATTTTTAAGTTGTGGTTAGAAACGCGGAACGAATTCAAGATCTTTTTGAAATAAGGATTTAAATTAGAAGAAAGGTAGTTTTCAAAAGCAATATAATATTTGAATGAACAGTACCCTTTTTAGCCTATTTGACTCGTTAACTTGTGACTCCCATTCTTGTTGGTCAATATCTAAAGAACGTTGTTTAACATGACTTAAAAAGCAAACATCACCACCAACACCTTGGTTAAGCCATGCTTCCCCGAACCAAATTAACGGAGTTATTTTTCTGATTTAATATAAATTTACAAACTTTATTTTGAACATATTCCAAATCAGCTCCTTTAATATAGTCCCACACCTCACAACAATAATTAAGAATAGGCATTACTTTTACATCAAATACATTTAAACAAATGTCAATACTTAATTCAAGCAAAAAGTTGCTTTGGAAGCTTGCTCGGCAAGAACGGATTGGGTTTTTGACCTTATTCCTCTGGAGGACAGTGTAATTCCTAAATATTTAAAATATGGAACAACTTCAATTTGGATATTGTTGTACCACCACTTTTCGTAATTTCTTAAAATACCACAATTTCTAAATACCACCATTTTAGTTTTCTTCTGATTTACTTTAAAATAAAATTTGCAATATTTTTCTAGTTCATTAGGTAGTTTTGTAACTGGTGTTTGGACTCTGACATGAATACAAGATCGTCCGCAAATAATAGGTAGAAAAGGTTTACCAACGCAAGTGAACAGCTATCAAATGTGTATAGTTTTTAGAAATCTCGAAGTGTAGGTCATTGATAAGAAAATGCAAAAAGGAAAGGGGATAGAATGCACCCCTGCCTAAGACCAACTTGGCAAGTAAAGAGGCTCGTTATACCTTTTGGCGTTGAAACACCACTTTTGACATTATCATAGTATGAATATAGAATGTTTTAAATTTTCCATGTAAGCCTCCAAGTATTCTTATTATATCTTTATGGTAATAACGCAGTGTACGGCGCCCTTTGAAAAATATGCAAATTTTCGAACTTTAACTGTTTTGACCATGGCGTACAACGCGTGAATTTACCTTTACGCTCAACAATTAGAAGCGTCGATTTACAATTAAGGAACAATAACGTTGGTAAACGAACTTTTGCGTAACGTGAACACCTTATCTCAGATATATGGCAACAACTACGACGAACTCTCCCAATAATGATTACTTTCTGCTGCAAATCTATTTGTTACGCGTAAATTAAATCGCGGAGAACGCTATATTGTGTTTATAAGATCTTTGATAAAAACATAGAGATATAATAAAAATACTAGAGCGCTGACTGCAATGTATTCGATGTTCGAAATGGGCAGAGCTATGTTTGTGTAGCCATAGATTTAGCCAATCAAATTTCGCCTAAGCACCATCATTTGCAATTCCGCCCTCAATTTACACAGACAGGTCAGTACAGCTAGTTACCCGTATGTTTGAAATTTGAGCGTTGCGGTGTAATGGGTGTTATGTACACGATTTTAATTTTCATTCCATGGTACTTTATTTTTGAATAAGATGCTCCACTTGGCCTCGTTTTGGCTACGATAGTTTAATAATTTGTTATTACCATTACTCATTACCATTAATGAAATAATAGTCAGTCAGAAGGCTTATTTATGGTAATAATATGTATACTAAGCCTGAAGGTGGCGCTTTACTACGACGGCCATCTTGGATGGTACACATACATAACTCTGCATTGCTTCGCCATCTTGTCAGCAATCTAGTTGTTTAATCTATAGCTCTATGGATAAAAAGCAAAGATCTTATAAACACAAGATAGCGTTCTCCGGGATTTACGCGTGCAAATTCTGTAATAAGGCATGAATGGCGCCCTCTTGCTAAATTGGAAACTTTTGACCCTTGACCGCTCTGATCTGAC